GTACAACATGAAATTTATATAACACGGAATTATCAACAGTGTTATAGGGGGGNACCAATATCACTTAGAAAATGAATTAATATGAAACTTTTAAAAAGTGTAGACACTACAGACTAGTGACAACAAACCTTATTCTGAAGATGGGTCAAAATTGAATTCGAAATTGAATAACTCCAAATCGCGGGTTAAATATTTCATTTGAGTAAAAAAAAAAAAAACAAATGGCGAAAAATGTTTACAAATTTTAGTTTTTGATTTAATGTAGGCCTATATCAGAAAAATAACAATAAACTGTATATAAGTGAAAAATAATAATAATGTGATTATAACGGAAACAAATATTTCGTTTAGTGGGAAATCTGCTTGTTGTCTATTTCATATGTTTTTTATCTGTAGTTCATAATTAGTGGCCTTTAAGATTTTTCACGACAGCTCTCTTTCACACTACATATGCAAAGTTTTAAAATATATTTTTTATATTTATAAAAATCTAATACTTTATGAGTAATCAATGCTGGCACCTTAAAATCATTACGCGGATTGCATCGTTGCTATAGAATCATGCATTGAAAATTGTTGAACTTTGGGACCGGAGCCAGAGTTCCAATTTTTTGCTGTTGCAGGATCCTGAAGCATTTCGTCCATAGGGTGAAAAGTAAAAGAAAAAAAAAATCAATCCATTCTTACGTATGAATCGAGACTTTTAAATTTTTATTTCTATTAATGTCTAATAGAATTTCAATAATTTTATAGGAAGTGCATCAAAGTTGGACCCTCAAATATAATTGAAATTTTTACGAAGAAAAAAAATAAGACAAATCATATTATGCTAAAATTTGCTCTATTTAAACATATTTATGCATTGAAGAATGAAAATGTTTATTTGCAAAATCCACAAGTATGTTCACCTGTCTCTGCTCCTGAACATTTTACATGAGCTCAAATCAGTACACTGTACTGATGACTACGTTCCGTCCAAAACATGCAGAAAGCTTCATTTTCAGTGTTAAATAAGAGTACCTTATTAAAGTACTCTTTGGGTCTCGAAATACTGTTTTTTTCCCTATTCCATCTTTTCTCTCTTAGTTTATATGGCTTTAGCCATGGATTCTGAGGCCACGCTAGTTTCTTATTTTTTCTTCTTTTATCATTCGTCATTATATTCAATCTAAATATATAAGGGACCCAATTAGTTGAACTCAAAATAATGTTTAAAAAGTAGGGATCCTATGTACGACTTAAGAAAAGGGGATGCTTTGAAACTACGTACTGTACCATTGTCAATTACTGTGTCAGGAACGATTAACAAAGCACGTAATTGGTTAATTTTATTTTATTACTACATGTTAGTCATGAGAAACGAACTCTTACCTGTTTAGAAACCAAATAATGATGCCACAGTGTCGATCAGATGTCGAAGTGATGATGCCACTTTTCACAGACGAGAAACCAGAACTGAACAGTAACGATTCCACAGGTTGACGACAGAATTGTGAAGTATATATTCCTCTTAACGTTAGCCACCCTTCTGTAGCGAAATAAGCCGGGAGTCTTACTTAGGAATAGGGGTCCGACTTTGGTGCTTTTCTTCTATATAGGCTAAGTACTGTACTCGATTCATTTAATATCTCTGTCAAATGCTTTGTCATAAATTATAAAAAGAAAATTATTGGATAATCAGTCTTCTTTTAGAAAATATTTTTTCAAACCAGCAAAAATATTTTAATCTCAAGTACATTTTATTTGTTTAGTATGTATTATATGATTATAATTTAGATAAGGATCCTTAAAGTAAATAAAAATTACTGAGGTTTTTCTTTAGTTTTTAACTCATCATGTTCTGCGACTGAGAGCATTTTCTCCATACAGTGCATGTATTCGATCAGGTCCACTATGGAGATAATCGAATGATGATCGACAGAGCCCACCTATCCGAGTCAGACCGCGCATAAAAGATTTCTGAGATGTCTGATCCGGATTGGACCTGTATATATATACATATATATATGGAATATATACAGTGTATATATAATATCCTAGAATTAATAAAATTATGTTATACAACAGATCAATATTTTGTTCATTCTTGCATAATATGTTAACTATCTTTCTAGTATCCGAGTATGAGGCTGAAATCATGTATTATCATATGGCCAAAAGATGTATTTCTATCGTTTTACATGAATAAATAAACAGAAGTTTAAAATGTCTTTAATAATATATTTTTGTTTTACTTTTAAGATAAAAAAAAATATGTATTTAAAACGGATTTAAGAAAACGGATAATGATTTTAAAAACGGTACGTTGATTGAAAATTAACTGAAGCTGTAGGCATAATCGAGATTAATTCTCATTACGACAGAATCACGCGACGGTTTACTGACAAGAGAATTGAATGCGCCATTTCCGTTACAAATAATACTTTGTTGAATGTTTGTTTTACTGTGAGTCTTATGGGAAGAATGGACAATTTGCTGGTATATGTTAGGCCTACCTGTAGATTTTATTGTTATTATCGTTCACTTTTATTATATTTGTTAGATTTATATCTTTTTACAAGGAATTTTTTGAAATAAAACGATCATTTCTTATTAATTCTATTAGCATTTTCTAATCGAAAAAAATTCTTATACGTAACTGCATCGAAAGCCATCCACGTTGAATTTGTTGTCCGACGACGTCAACGTAAATGGTGTTTTTGCTTTGATCAATACTTATTTTTTCTGCCCGCCATCTCTTTTAAAGTTCAGCTGGATTCGACTCATAAATATTCTCCTTTTCCGTCTGTCTGACGTCACACTGGCTCTGCCACTTAACGCCGCGGATTCCGTCGTAGTGAGAATCAGCCTTCAGAATAGAAGCCGGAGCTATAAGATTCATCACGAATATAGCTGGAGCTATCCAAACACCTGCTGAGAGTGTTAGAAATAAAATTATAATATTTTTTATTGGCATTTTTTAGTATACGCCTAAAGAAACGAGTTAATATGAAACTTCTTTAAAATGATATACTAAAAAATTAGTTTCTTTATTCCAACATATATATATATTTCAGTATTTAGAATAAATAATTTTTTCAACTATGTTTAATTAAATAAATCCATCAGGTTTAAGCAATAGTTGCTTATAAACATTAAGCACCTATACCCAATACGAAGAATATTAAATATAATGAGTGAAAACGAAATATTTTAATAAAACTAAAATTAATTATTAAAATTCAGATGTATATATTACATAATTTTGATTTTACAACAGTTTAATTAAGAGAATTTTGAAATTGACTTATTAGGTAGATAGAGCTAGAATTCAATAAATTCAATCAAATTTTATTAGTTAATGTGTATTAATAGCACTATTACAGACATTTATTTAGGCTTCAGTTACAATATTTATATATATATATAATTTGTCATTACACGTCTAATCATTATTGTAAAATTTGTTTTGTATCTCTTAGATATACAGATGACATTGATCTTTATATAAAATCCTTAAATATTTGGCTCAAATCGTGGAATTAGAGATGAAACCAATTTTTAAAAATTTAGTTTTAGCTCAAATTTATTTTTAGATCTTCTTTCGGGAGAAATAGATCAAAATTACACTTTTAGAAAAAATAAAATGAATCTTTCTCACAGACAAAATGATTTATTCTTCTACCTAAATTTACAAGTTAATAACACAAATCCGACATTTTTTGAAAATGAAAATTATTATATATTTAACAAATATATAAGAATATAATCTAAAATAAAAATAAACATTAGTATATACAGTAGACCCCCCTATAACACTGTTGATAATTCCGTGTTATATGAATTTCATGTTGTACGAGTCACTTAGATTTTTACAAATACGTGTGCCGGGCTGTGAACGGCTCACGTATTTGTAAAATAGTGACTCGTACAACATGAAATTTATATAACACGGAATTATCAACAGTGTTATAGGGGGGTCTACTTGTATATATATAAGTCCTGCATTTATCATTGCGCGCGCACGGAGTTAAAAATTATTATTTAATATTCAAAACATCTGCAAACAAAGAAATAAGAAATATGTTTATGTTTCGTTTTACAAAGAAATAAGAAATATGTTTAAAATAAATAAATGAATTTCTCATGTCAGAGTTTTGTAAAAAAACAAATAAAAAATAATAAATGTTTAGTATTATTTTTATTACTATTTTAACTAAATAAATAAAAGTAAAAGCAGCGTGTCTTTTTTAAGATATTAAAATTAAGATATACATTATAAATATTATTAAATGCTCCAGTAAAATTAAAAGTTACATTCAATAGTTTAAAAATATATATATATATTACTAGCGTACTTTCGACATCTCTATTGAATGCGTCATCAATAAACACTACAGTTTACTAATGAAGCATTAAATGTTAGAGATGGCGAAAGTACACTAATAAATTTTATTTTATTATTACACCATCGATTTTATCGAGTGTTGCTTAAACATTACTTATTTATTTCGTAGTGTTTCGTAGATCATATTTTCCTATACGTCGGATGTAAAATCCGACGTAGAAGAAAATATGAATCTATAGAATCTAATTGTAACACTTAAAATTTAAATTTCTATTTTTGTATATAAATCTTAATCTATATACAAATTTTTGTTTTTCTTATTTACTACTAAAATATATTTCTTTTAAAACTGAAAATCTATTTTATTAAACTCTGCAAAACATTTATAATCTATTTGTTAGATTTAAAATTTTGGCAAGTTTTATATTTAAAAAAATTACTTACCGTATTTATCTTAACTTTTTAATATTTAAAAATTTCAATATCAATTGTTGTAAACGATAAGAGACGTATGTTTACTTAACGTGGAAAAATGTTACTATTTTTTAATTCTTAAACAAATAATTCCGACTTAAAAGTTAANTATATAGATTAACTTTAAGTAAATTGAAATTAAATTTTTTATTAATTATTATTAATTACACAATGTTAATAAACTTTATTATATTTTCAGATGTAAAGTCAGTTTATTGAGAAAGTTGAGAAAAATCACTAGAACATAAAAAAATGCAACAAAAGTACTATAAGTTGGCAATTTTTAATTTAATCACGACAATGAAAACTAAGAGATCATATTAAATGTAGGATGTCAACAGGGAATTTCCAGCAAAACAACCATTCACTTCCAACCCCTTCTTCTACTCCATCAAAATCTAACACTCCTACTTCAACCAGTAACACAATAAGTACACAAATAGAAGGGCAAGGATTGAGAAAAGACATCAGAAGTTCGCCATCTCTAACATCTGGACAATCCTATGTTATGTTACCACCACATAGTCAGGCACAACAGGGAAATCTACCTCAAAATATTATAAGTGGTGCTGATTATTTTCAAATACCATATGGTAAGTATTTTAATTTTGAAATAAAATTGTCATAAAAATCTGTATATATTTTATTTATAAAATGGTATAATATTGAAAAAGGTTAGAGAAAATTACTGTATATAAACAAGAGATGTGGATACAATTTTCCTTCATAAATCATAAATAATAATTTTCCTTTCATAAATCAAAGGACTGTGTGTATCTCATGTTTAAAAATTATTTTTACATATTTTCCTTCTATTTTAAATCTAGGTCTATATTGAAGACATACAAATGTCACAAGATTACTTGAAATTCTGTATCTTGTAATGATGTAGCACATATATAGAGTGAAATTAATTTTCTCTCTCCTTCATATTATGCTTTTGAATTTAGGATTTTAGGAAGTTGATTTTTTCTTACTGCTATCTTTAGTCCTTCATTTTTTTTGTTTTGAAATTACTACAAACTGATACTGTTGGGTTGTTCTGAAAGTAATTTCGTCTTTTTTACCACTAGATGGATTTCTCGTATTTTTCCTGCCGTTTTTACTCTAAACTGTATTATCATTAAATATTTTGACAGCTAGCATTTTAAGGCTTACATGTAAAAAATTTTGTTTGATTTTGTGCAATTGTTTATTTTTTGTGTCCCATCAAATATGGAAGATTGAAAGCAGCATTTTCGGCATATTTTGCTCTTTTATTACAGTAGAACCTCGAAAACTCGGCTCTCGATAACCCGGCACTCCGGATAACTCGGCCACACCCTGGCAAGGCAAAAAAATCCTTAGTTAATTAATTTTCATTATAGACAGCTTTATAAAAGTATAAAAACTTTCATAAAGTATTTTTCTGAAGTCTGTCTTATCAGGTAAATTACTGTACACTGTGTATTCATTAATTTTCATTTTCATTCGTAAAGGCTCTATGCCTTCATAAAGGACGTACTTTTCCTTTGTTTAAGGATATTTGGGCAGTTTATTCTCTGTTGTATTCTCAAGCAAACAATACATACAAGTACAGTACAATATTTTCTGAGGAAACACGCATACTTATCCTTTTTTAACCACATTCCCGATAACCCGACATTTTCACAAACTCGGCCACCCTTCGGTCCACATTAGGCCGAGTTTTCGAGGTTCTACTGTACCAAAAACGTAAGAATGCTGTTCAAGCGAGAAAAAAATTGTGTGACGTGTATGGAATAGATATATTGACAGAACAACAGTGCCAAAACTGGTTTACAAAATTTCGTTCTGGCAATTTCAATATTGAAGATGCACCACGTTCTGGATGGCCAGTTGACGCCAATGAAAACAAAATAAAGGCACTGATTGAAGCAAACTGCCGAATAACAACACGTGAAATCACTAAAAGATGAAATTTTTCAAATTGAACTGTTTATGATTACTTGAAACAAATTGGTTTCGTTTCAAAGCTCGATATATGGGTTCCACATGTTCTTAAAGAGAGATGCTCTTTTTGGTGGGATTTTAAGGAAATTTTTTTTGAAGCTTTTACCAGACAATTTAACAATTGATTTGAAAGTATACTGCCATTGAGTAAACAAATTGAGTAATATCATCAAACAGAAAAGGCAGCCAGAATTGATCAACAAAACAGGTGTAGTGTTTTACCACAATAATGCCAAACTTCACACAAGTTAGGTAACTCATTAGAAACTGTTATAACTTAGATGGGACGTGCTATCACACCAACCATATTAGCCAGATCAAGCACACTCAGATTATTACTTGTTCCTGTCTATACAAATTTTTTTTAACTGTAAGACATTTACTTGAAATGACAATGTCAAAAATCACTTGTATCATTTTTTTGTAAGCAATGATCAAAACTTTTATGAATGTGAAATCATGCTACTACCATAAACAATGACAACAGGTATTTGACCAAGATGGTTGATATATAATTCAATAAAATATTTATTTATTATAAAAATATTGTGTTTTTTCCATGGAAAAAAAACGAAATTACTTTCCAAACAACCCAATATTTCATCTTGAAATGTGCAATTAGATATTTATAACAGCCAATTATTCTGTATAAATTCACATTAATGTGTATAATAAGATATGGAATTGGTATAGTGTAAATAACTTAACAGTTATGTAGTAATTTTTAGAATGATTCTCTATGCCATGTACATTTGCATAGAGCATCATGTTAAATTGTATATAAAATACATCTTGTTTGATGTATATTTATAATAATATATATATTATTGAAGCATCTGATGAAAGTCTTTGATACTTTCCTTTAAATTTAATGTATTATCTGCTTAATATTTAGAATTGTACAGTTTTATATATTCATTGAAAAAAAAGGAATTTTTCAAAATATTCAAATAAAAATAATGTTCCAGGTTTTTATTGCAATTTGGATAAGGTTTTTAAAGTAAAGCTAAAAAAATGTACTGTATATCTGACATAACTAATCAAAGTAGGCTGTATTCTTGATATTAATGGAATTAATGTTAATCAGAAGATGAAATATAATTATTTTGATAATTTTTTAAAAATTATAATACTTTTATATAATATTAGTTTTGTTCTTCCTTTTAACAGGTTCATTTGTTTTAAATCTTGAATTGTAAACTATATCTAGATGTCTGTCTGGTTTGCAGCCATATCAAAACTGCAAAACAATTAAATCCAAAATTTTATTTTGAGTTGAAGAATTCTCTTCAAAGATTTACAAGAAGCTAATGAACAATGATATTCTAATGAAATTTCTATAAAATTAACTTTATAAAGTGAGTTTTCAAAATCAAATCAAGTTTGATTAATGAAACTTCTGAGTCCTTTAAGAACAGTAAGCTTTTTAAGAAAAGAAATTAAAGAAATAAATTATAGGAATTGCTGTAAAGTCATTTTCATGACCATAAATAAGAAGCTGTTAAAGAAGACTTTCAAACAAATTTGAAACTAAGAGTAAAATGCCTCATTCTGAAAGCCTATAGATTCAGATTTAGTTTATTAACTCTTCATAAAATTATTAATCGGATTTGATATAAATCATTCTAATGTTGGAAGATATATATATATACAGTAGAACCTCGATTATTCGGACCTCTATTATCCGGATTTTCGATTATCCGGATTGTTCAAAATAAACAAAAATTTTACGAATTTGCTGATTTGCACTTAGCGAATTACGACACTGTTTATGTATGTGATGGAATGCATAACATTTATTGTTTCAACAAGGTCTCATCCGGCACAGTGGTCGTAAACTCTTAAATATATTTTGCGTCGTAATAAAAATATAACTTGACATACGTATTTATAAAAAATTTTATTTTCAAATTACATCATTTTTATGACCAAGGGTGGCGCAAGGCACGGGCAACGTGGGCCAGCACCTATGCCTCGCGGTCTGAAGGGCCTCGCGCCTCGAAGGTTTATGCATTACTTAAAAGCCGAGAACGCAACAAAAAATTTTACTTGTCATAAAACGATAAATAGTTTGTCAAATTTTTATTCATAAATTTTTATTTTATAAAATCAGTCTTCTTGTGCCGCCAGAGGGCCTTTTAAACAATAGCTAGTCTGTTAGCGCTGGTCAGTAGTAGTCCAAATTCAATAAAACATTTGTTTCTTGAAAATTTAATCACGATTTAAATACAGTATTTATTTTTAATATTACCGATATGTCATCGAAAAGAAAACGTGTTGTATTATCATTAAAAGACAAATTAAAGTATTTGTTTCGATTATCCGGATTTTTCCTTATCCGGACTACCTTCATCCCCAATTAGTCCGGATAATCGANATAATTTTTTTTTTTTTCCTTTCACTTTCAGTTTATATATTTTTATTTTATAATTGAAGAAACAAATGAGAAATTTACAATTTCTAAAAATATTAATGTGTTGTCTAAAGATGGCTGAACTGGGCATTAAGAAGCATATGCAGAATACAGTTTAAGAAAGAATATGAAGAACTTCTTATGACATATAATGACGTATATTTTAATATTCAATACAATATAAAACAAAACATTACAAAACGATGAACACTAAACAAATTGTCTTGATACTAATTATTAAATGGATATTAATCGTCTTGAAGCTGACACGTTGTTTGTGCTACGTCGTAACTCTAATAGTTCGTCTTTTTTCCTGCCTGCGCTGGATGTCTGCACTCGACAAAATCATGAAAAAATGGGGAACATGCACCACATTAATTTTAAAAATTATAGTGTCAAACATTTATCTTTGACATTTCAATGATTTCTTATGGAAAATTATTTTAATTGATGATGATGATTTTTTTAGAGAATGACTCCATTTTGCAAAATAATATTTAAGTACATTTATATTTTAACAATAATTTAAAATACTGACAATTAGGTATTTTATGAGGAATAACTTCAGTATGTAAAATTTTATTTAATACAAATGTTACATTACCTTATTTTTATGATATATTTATTACATTATTATTTATTAGATTATATTCATATTTGTAAATTAGTTTATTAATAAACTTTTAAAATTATTTATAGGTTCCAGGCATCAAAATTTATACTTGTTTTCAGGAGATGGAAACACTGTTACTTCTCAATCATTGGAAGGAAAAGAAAGTGAAAAAGTGGGAACAAACATGCCATCAAGAGTCATCAATAACAATCCAGCAAGAGTTAGTCCCAAATCTTTTGCCTCATTACAAATAAATGATTCTAAAAATGATAAAATGATATCAGGATATGACAGACAGATAGATGGGCTTTCACCATTATCAGTTATAGCAGTATCTAATTACTCTGATGTTTGTCATTCAAGTCCTAGTTTAACTTCTAGTGGATTAACACAGTCTCAACAAGCTTTAAGATATCAAGCTGGAAATGATGCCATGCTCAGTGCAATTAACTATACTGAGAGTGATATGTTGCAAGAAGGTGGCTTTGATGTTCCAGTTACTTCCACATTTGGAAATCTGGATGGCCTTCTGAATTCAATTGGTGGAGGAGTGAATGCATCAAGCATGCGTCTCCCTGACTTACTAGATGGTGATGGATCACAAGAACCTTACATAGATACTGCTCAAGATTTACAACTTTCTCCTGAATCATTTACAACTGGGGCAGAAGGTTTTTCTGTAGAGAATTCTTCACTAAATAGAATTACAGAATCTGGAGCTGTTGATTGTACAGGTAAGACTTCTATATATTCATTTGTATTAACTCTTGTAGAATATTTTGGAAAGATACATATTTTAACACACAATATACTATTCACATTTCAATAGTAGTAATAGCATTTATATACAGTATAATTTATCTGATATTAGATAATATGAAGTCATTTTTATTATTCAGTTTTCAGTACTGTGATAAAGATAAGGATTTGAATGCTGTTCAGTTAATATGTAAAATGAAACACATTTTGGTCCCCAGAATATGGGAGTCACGCTATTAAGGTTGGTTAATATGAAGGAAATATATACCATAATTTTTAGGGGTAAATGTGTTGTTAGGTAAATCAGATGGCAGCACTTCCAGTCACCATCTTGTTTGAGAATGGTATGTCCAAAAAACAAGATGGCAACCAGTGCAACTACTAACTACACTGGTTTTTAACGCCTTAAGTTCCCAGCAATTTTTGATATTAATGTAATTAAACATAAAAAATACTTAAAACTGAAAAAAAACGAAAGAAATGCGTTAATTTTGAAGAAAAAGCTTCAAACTTTATTTTCCTTTGTCTCACCTTTCTGCAAAATTTGACACCGATGAGTCATTGTTTACACAGCTGGATGACCTTGAACACAGCTGGAGTCAGATTTCCCGGGACATTCTCATAGAAGTCTCGGGAGGACAAGGGTTTAAAGTAGGGTGAGTTCTATCTGGCGGTATGTTTTTAAATATTTTTAAAAAATTCAAATTTTAATTGAGATTTCTGACCCCCCGACTTAATTAAACGTGTATATAATAAAATCTGTTTTAATTAAAAAAATTAAAAAACTATTGGAGGTGGTTTTTGACATCAGAAAGCAGCTTTAAATAACTTTACCGAAGGAAAATCCGTGCGCTACAACTTAGGAACCGTGAAATAAATTTGATAAAAAACTCCCATTAAAAAACAATTAAGCCTTAATCGAGCCTTATCAAAGGCTCATTAAAATCGCAATAAAATTTTTTTGTATGGACAAAAAATTTTGAAAAAATTGGAGACTTAAAAAACATTCCAAAAATTCAAAAAAAAAACAAAAAAATTTTGGGGGGCCAAAAGGACCGAGTTTTATGTAAGGCTATGTAACATGCCTGAGTTAACTCGAGCGAAGAACTAAAGGGGTTAAGCAATAACATAACAAAACTTCTGGTTCAATGTTTATCCTATCAAAATGTTATGATTATTACCATAAAATGGGGATTTGACATACAAAAACAAATAATGTAAAGTCTACTCCATTAATAGGAATGAAAGTTTCTGAAATTATAGTAAACAGATTTTAAAATGGAAATCCATTAAAATTTTCAAACTTATGTGTCAATTTATTGCACAGGAACAATTTAAAATCAGAGTACATAGGCATTATATATGTCATCAACAACTAGTTTTTTAACACTTAAATGGCCAGTAGCCAATTTAAACTTAAATCCTCATAAACTTCTGGAATTAAAATCATTTGCATCAAAAACTTGGTATAACATGACACTATGTCTCAGGGAAATCAGTATCAGTTAATGAGGAGGCAGTAGACGACTGGAAGATAAGTTACAAATCTGTTTTAGATTCATTTGAAGCAAAGAATATTTTTAATATGGTGAAATGGGATTGTTTTATAGCCCACTTCCTTCCTAATAAGACATTTACTGTGAAAAGTCAAACGTTTTCTGGGAAAAAGCTGAACAAGGAACAAATAACTATTTTGTTGTGCTGCAACACAGGATTGGACTGAAAAGCTTTGACCTCTGGTTACTGACAAATCAGTGAAGCCCATTTTTTTCAAAACCCTAAGTCACAACACTTTCCTTGTGATTATGCTGCAAATTCCACAGCCTGAGTCACAACACAGATTTTCCAAGACTTATAAAATTAGACAGATGGTATGCTGCAAATGAAATATCTTAATTCTTCTGGCCAGATGTACTGCCATTGTGCTTAAAGTATGTCTCTGAAAAACATAAAGTTGTTCTATCTTCCAGAAAATATGCCATCTGTGTTGCAGCCACTAGACCAGAGCATATTCCATCATTTGAAAAAGACTTATCAAGGATGACTGGTAAAAAATTTAGTGTATCATCTAGAAGGCAAGAATACCTTTCCTCCAAAATGGAATAGTCATGATGCACTAAGGAATGTGGCTTATGCCTGGGAAAAAGTTTCATCTGAAGTGATTTCCAATTGTTTTAGGAAAGCTAGTTTTATCAAAAACAGCATAGATGTGAAAGATGAGCAAGATATAAAATCCTGAAGCAGAATGGACAACTCTACAGGAAGCATTAACTCTTCAATGTGATTTTAGAGAGTACTGTACATCCAAATTGATGACGACTTGGCAACCAGCAAGATTTCCACAGAGGAAAAATTAGCCAGAAAAGACACTAACATTCAGGGAGAAAATTAAATGGAAGCAACAGGTGATGATGTAGAAGCAGGTCACAGCTTATTGCCAAAAGCACATGCTGAGAATGCACTGGTAGTGCTGGAAAATGTGTTTGACTGGCTGTTTGCCAGAACTTTTGAGTCTGACAAGTTAAATGGTTTTGTAAAGAACACATACAAGACAAAAATAATGCAAATGATTTGAAATGACTTTAAAACATAGATTTAATTAATAAAATACCACACCTTTATTAGTGAAATTACATATCCTAATTTTTTTCATTAATGTTTTGAACATAGTGCTATGTCATCTTGAATAAAATAAACAACTGTGATTTAAGTTAGTTATTGCTTATTTGAGTTGTGGAATGGCTTGTGAGATGTAATGCAGTATGTCATTATATATCTGGTTATATCTAAATTAAATATGTCTGGAAGCAAAAGATTGGATGGAGGTCTGGTTAGCATGAGTGGCAATGCATCCACACTGTAAGTGACAGTTATGGGTTTGAGTCCTGCTCTAGACTGATTCTTTTCTTCCAGAATTCTTCAAAATTACTTAATAAATATTAATTTAATTGCAGTTATTAAATTTAATTGGAGATGGTGCCTAACACCTATCTCTGTGCCAAATTATTTAGTATTTAATTATTAATAATAGCAGTAATGTAGCTATTAGGCTTAGAGTAGTTTATATATACAGTCGACCCCCCTATAATTACGATTCCTATAAAACTACGAAAAAATTGCTACCGGTATCCGTAAAAAATAGTAAAAGTTCCCTATAAACACCTCAAACGTCATCGGGAAGCCGAACTACTTTCCCGCCGTCCGTAGCGCCACGCTACGGAGAGATTTCTATCGTCTGGACAGTATTATATAAATTATATATAAATTAGGTACTGTACATATAATTATATATTAATTATATATAAATTAGGTACTGTATATATAATTATATATTAACTTATTGTAACTTTGTTATAATTAAATATATAATTTCCGCCGTCTAGCGTGGCGCCACGCTACGGAGATTTTTACGCTAACTATCGTCTGTCAGTATGTAAATTAGGTACCGTAAGTCTAATACAGTACTGTAATTTTATACATTTCTTGTGAAAGAAACATTTCTTATTCAACGGCGATTAAAATTATTTATATTAATGATGTCTCCGAAGTTCAAGGAACTATTAGCAGAAAAATAAGTTATTAGAAATCGGCCGCGGTTTGGTGAGCTGTTCCGCGACGAAAACAATGTTGAGCAATGGCGATGTCAAATGGTGACACTCGGTAAGTAATCCTACAATTTTTTATTTATAGCGTAGTTTATACGGATTATTTCCAAAAAATATATACGTGTTTAGGAAATGTTGAGTCGGATTAGTCTAGAATCGATTAATTTTATGGAAGAAAATCTTTCAAACAGCTGTAGTACGTAAACTTGATATGTGTCGGGTTGTGATTGGAAGGATTCGTAAGAAATCAGATTCCTAAAGAATGGAACGTATCTCTATCTTATAGGGGGATCGATTGTATGTACAGTACAGCATATGAGCAAAGTTTAAAAAATTGTGTGTGGCATAATCTATTATGAGGTTTTATTTAAAAAATAACTTTTATATTTTTAATTATAATAAAAAGGCAAAAGGTTCAATTTTGAGAGTAAAGATGAGTTTTATTTGGTAAACTAAAAATTTTTGACAGTAAAAATAATTTCTTTAACTTGGAAAATTTTTGAGATATGGCTTCATCTCCTTAATATCTCCAGAACCAATGGTTTGATTTTCCTGAAAATTTTTATAAACATTTTACTCTAACATAAAAACCTTTCTGCAAAATGTCAGAAATTTTTGACAAAAGACACAGGAGTTATTAAGCCTTAAAGTGGATGAAAAAAAAAATCATGATTCTTCTCTCCACACATCATACATACACTAACATATACAGAAAAAATCCCCAACTTTTTTGCATTTCTTGATTTTCAAAGTCCCAAATCCAAAAATATAAAAATCATGGGGGTCATTTTTTAACTAATTGCAATGTACTCTCTCTGTTATGTAACAGCTAGGGCATAGCATCAGCATCATTCTATTCATAATAATAATGTTATGGAATTGTCCGGTTATTACAAAAACAAATGTTTCTGTCAACAAATTCTATTAAATTTAATAATCTTTTACAACTTTTAATATTTTGGAGAACAATTATCAATCATTGTACTAAAAACTTTGTATAGGAAAACATACAGTTTTAATTTTTAAATAAACTCATTTCTATTTATTTTTAGTTTCTCTATTTTATACGTTAATCACTGTAAATTTTAATTGGATAAAAAATATTTAATTGCAGTATCATTTTCTCCCCTTAATTTTATCAGATAAATTATCTTAAAATTATAGATTGAATGTAACAATGTGATGACAAAATAAAGTGATAAGTTTTAAAATATTTTGATTAATTGTTTTCATATTTAAATATTAACTTAATTATTCTAAAACTAAGTTTTTCAATAAATGTATTCCTACTTTTAACATATTATTAAATGATATGTATAAGAGTTATATATACCATTTGATTTTTTTTTATTGCTGAGGATTAGTTTTAACAAGTAGCAAGTTAACTGTTTGTTTGTTTATCTCTTTATCTGATCTAAATTTAATTTAATTTTTAATGTGTAATGAAATAGATTCTAAACATTTCTTGATAATTTTTTGTGATAAATAATCTAATAATCTATATATTGAAAGCAAATTTTTGAGAAGACAATGGAATGAAATCTATCAAAAAGACTTGCAGTTTTATAATATTCAGTTTAGTTTATTTATATAAACTAATCTGAACTTTATTCTGATGACAACTAATTAATATTGAATAATTTGAATTATAAATTGTAAACTCATATTTAATTATATAGTTGAATATGTGTATTTGAGAACTTTATTTTTTTCATTTTAGTGCGGTGATAAATAATGTAGGTAATATCAAATAAGAAATTATATATAATTTGTGTTTTCATTCTATTAATTATTTTAAATTAATTATTAAACTTTTTCAGATGAAAGTACAAAACCTCCAGATGCGGGAAGTTCGTCCTTGCCCGACAAACTTCGGGGAAAAGGTAGACCCGTAAAAGCTACATCTCCAAGTCGACCAGGGACGCAACCATGCCCAACATGTGGAAAAGTTTTCAGTAATTCTAGTGCATTAACAAAACATAAACTGACTCACAGTGATGAACGTAAATATGTATGCCAACTTTGCACTAAAGCATTCAAACGACAAGATCATTTGTAAGTTATTTTATATTAATTGTTAGTTTAGTTAATTTATTTTATTTTTATACATAATTAGGAATTGCCAATTTTTATACACTGTATAACCTAATAATTTAGAATGAAATTTTAAGAATTTTTAGGATTTCATATCCAAAATGATTGAGTTTTACAAAATTGTAAAAAATACACAAATTACTTTTTTAAAAATCTTACTCAATTTGAGTGTCAGAAAATGATTTTAAAGCAATTTTAATTAATCTTACTTTTGATTGAACATTAATTCTGTTTCAGCATGGCAATCTTATATCATATCAAATGCAGTTCAATTAAAAATACTGTAAATATACAAATGTAATAATATGGAAAGAATGTACTTTCAAAGTGTTTATATCAAAAGGAAATTAATTTTTATTTGTCATTATTGCTGAAATTTAATATTGATTTTGCTCTTGGCTACAAAATCTGACTCTTGAGTCAAATTGACTTGTTAAAAACTAAGAGTCAAATCATAAAATTTTTTGAGTTGAGATAAATTTTTTTCATTTTCTCCAAACTTTCTTGTTTGTTGAATTTTAATGTATATGTCATGCAAATTAAAAAAAAATAACTTTCTGCTCACCATGACAAGCCTGTTTAGAGAATATAAAAATCATTAGAAACTAAAATGGTATATTGCAAAACTGATTTTTTTATTTTGAAACTTTTACGACTTTTTGTCTTATATTTTAAAATATTTTTAATGTTTTTCCATATGAAAATTCAAAAATAGGAATAGCATTTATCAATCTAAGGGACAGTAATGTATGCAAGCTTTCATCTTTTAGACTGTATCTTTGACTATATTTAATTCAGTTTTGGTACTAAATATTGTTTAATTGGCATTGGGATATTAAATGCTCTCATGAATTAGTTAGATCTAATGATATGATTTTAAATTACTATTAGAAAAACCTAATTATAATTTTTAAAAAGATTTTTAAATTAATTTTTATAAGTTTTATACATAACATTCTGAAGCATTGTCAAGAAACAGTGTTTTGAAGTAATATGATTGAGTTTAATTCATCAAAAGAGTTCAAAATTCAAACAAAAGGCTAAAGATTGATGCTCTATTCAACCTGAAAATACAACTGAAACAAAGAACTAATTGACTTATAAAACTTTCGGAAATCCCAAAAAACAAAATTGAAAATACTTTTCAAAACTAGAACAGAAACATGAAAAAATTGAAAATACTTTTCAATTTTTTCATATTTCTGTTCTAGTTTTCAGCAGAATTTTATCAAATGCAATACATTTTTAAGTGGCATCAACAAATTATAAGTCATCTCATTTAATTGACATAATTTTCAACGTTTTAAAATTACTACAAAAAAAAACCAATGTTGAATTAGGAAATTACTTATATTCAACATGAACATCTAAGCAACCAAAGCTGCTTTGAAAAACAGTGACCTTCAGTTTAGTGATTCACTGCAATATAATGATTAATGTAAAAGATCTCAGTTAATTTCACATAAGCATAATGGTATTTTACTATTGCTATAATGACCATGTAAAATGATTAGAATTTCATCAGAGCAACCTTTCAAACATTGATAAAACAAATGGGGAAAGCCACCACCTTATTTAAAAATATGCCTTAACATTTAAAAGAAGTTTTTTGATTAGAATTGCATTTATTGTATACAAAAACAAAGATACTAAATAAATAGAATAATTTTGATAATGAATTAAATGGAAAAAACTACAAGACAGAAATATGAAAATATCTCACAATTTCTTTCATGACATGATGATAATTTAATTATAATAGTGTGCACTTTCATAGAATATAGTAAATTGTTTGTTTGTTTTTGAATTTTATTTTTTTAATTAGTCATGCATTTCTTTACTTTTTTAATTAATTAAAAAAAATTATTTAAAAACTACTCTTTAAAATTGTATTATTTAATGTTTTGGTATATTTTTCTTATGCATACATAAAATTGTATAATGTAATTGGCATTCCCATCAAAGTTTGAAAATATTCAGAAAATTCAATATAATGACCATCCTTTTGACAGATCATCTAAAGTGTGCTGTAGAGCAAGTCTAGTATAATTAATTTCAGCAGTTTTCACAAATTATCTAGTATTGTTTTTAGGTAATATAGAGCTTAATTGAAATTAAATTGAAGCACAGTCACTTAATTGTTTAGTTTCCATTATTATTATTATTATTGTTGTGTTTAGTGGGTTATACTCAGTTCACACTAGTGGCTGTGTACTATGCCGGATCAGAGTCAAGGCATAGCAACCAAAAACAAAAATTAAATAAGTATGTCAGTGTCTGTATTCAGGAATTTCCTAACAATGTGGCATGTATTCAATATAGTGGCCTTCTATAGTGTAATGTATGTATTTCTATTCAATTGTAATGTTCCCAGGCTATTCTGTAGTGTGTGTGATATCACACCTGTACAGGAGAGAACGACAGGTACAATAAGCACCCTTTCCATTCCCCACAGATGCCTTATTTCCTGGGTGAGTTCTGTGTACTTGCTAATTTTTTCAGTGCATGTGTTTTGTACATTGTGAGTGTTTGGAATGGCTATGTGTATAATGTATGTGACTTTATTGTGTTTGTCAATGAGTGTGATGTCTGGTCTGTTGTGGTAAATTGTTTTATCTGTAATTATGGTTCTGTCATAGTACAGTTTGTGTGTGTTGTTTTCCAATACTGTCTGTGGAATATACTTGTAGTATGGTTCGTGGATGTCTAATAATTTGTGTTTGTTTGCAAGCTCATGGTGTATTATATTTGCTACTTGATTGTGTCTATATAAGTAATCTGTCTGTGCCAAGAGCTTGCAACCAGAAGTGATGTGTTGTATAGTTTCTGGCATGATGTGACATTTTCTGCATGTGTCATTTGTGAGTGTTGTATCTTTGAGTACAGTAGAACCCCTCTAATCTGTCACCTTTGGGACGGGGGGTATGGTCAGAACGCAAAAAAGGTCGGATTATCAGAAAAAAGTAAAATAAACAATCTTCCCCTTTGTCCAGTCTTTGTAGCACTGCTAATTTTTTATTTAAATTAATGAAAGAGTAACGTGTTTACGTTTCACTCCTGACATGTTGAAAACACACACAAAACTGTACATGTACACACAATGTAAAACATATACTGTAACAAACACAGAAAAACGCCATGGACAGTGAGTCACCGACGAGTCGGGACAAGTTTCTCGACTCTGACCACGGTTGGATTAACCAGAGTGACAGACTAGCCGAGGGTGGACTAGACGGGTTCTACTGTATGTGTTTTTTGTAGTTTTTAGTATTTATGACCTGATCCTGTATGGCAATCATGAATCCTTCCATCTTCCCAAAGAGGCATCCCCAATCTAACCAACTGTTTGATGCAGTTTTGTCAACAAAATCCTGGGCCAGGTCAAAAGGATGCCTGCCATGGAGTGCCTTTCGAGTCCACGATTGCTTGATGGTGTCTATGCTTTTTATATGTTGTGTCACGTCTGTATGATGTGAGTGTAAGTTTAATGATGTGTTATTTGAGTCTGCTAGAGTTACTGCTTTATGTAATTGTGATGTTTCTTGTTTCTTGTAGAAAAACTCTTGCAGTGACTGTATTTGTTTGTAGTGAAGGTTAACTATGTCAATCAGGTCACATCCGCCTTCTTTGACATTTTCGACAGTAGGATGCATTTTAGTTTCTTCACTTCCTTGTTTATCAAAATAATCTACTTCTAACACATCAAAAGTTTTTATACAAATATTGTGCAGAATCCATGCACCAATAATTGTTTTTACAATCAAGTCCATTTGACACATCTAAAAATGTCAGCAGTCTGTACCTTCCAACAAGATGTGCAAATGCATGCTCAATTTCATTTTTACAGTTTGATAATTTATTATTATATAATTGCACACTATTGAGGTTCCCATTACTTCAATATGGCATTAGCAAATGTTCAAATAACAGATAAGTACTATTACCCAAGATATGACCACAGCTGAAAAATCCATCATCGGTGTTTACTCTGATGCAATGCTGATCGTTGGAAAACACAGGCATCATGTATTGACCCAGCATTACCTACATAGCAGTCTAAAAATACCATTTTCTCATTACAAACTAAACTTATAGGATGATAGAGTAATACTTATTTATATTGAAATAAGTTGCTGCTTCTTCAGTTGATGATACCCTAATAGCCATATGGTTTCCATCAATAGAGCCTATAATTTCAGGGAAACCAGATTGGGTATAAAAGAAATTCCTTTATTCTTGCATCATTTTGCTTTGATGGCCAAGAGATTATTTTTCACTTTCATTTAACACTAAGATAGAATTAACAACCTTATTTAAAATATTCCATGCAGTTTGTGTAGACATATTAAAACAATTGCCAATACCCTCAGAGAAAAGAAAGGAAAAAAATGTTTTGTATTTAATATCTCAATTATTTGTTGATTTTAAACTCAGTTTAGTTACACCATAAAAGAGCAATGCCACATCTATTCACTGGGTAAAACAGTTGCATTAAATATGTATTATATATGTATAATCTACTATTCTCTTATATACTGCAACTGATTTCATATATTATTTCCTATAAATCTATAAACAAACCTGAATGATTACATAATGGAAAGGGGAAATGCAAAGACGTTAATAAGTCAGGGAATAATGTCATAATTGGTCAGGGAATCACAAATGGAATTACCTGTATGGACCCAGTATATATGCATATATATAATAATTTTCAAACTTTTTGCTTGCTTTTTCTTTAAGGTGAAATTTTTTAATACATTTTATACTAACTATTTAGTTAATGATAATTTTGTGCTTTAAATTATTATATTGATTGGGATGCTGTTTTCAGATTGCAGATCTTTATATTCCCATTGTCCTTTGTTAATCTTGAGAATGGAATTATCTATATGAAATTGTGACCAGAGGTGTAGAGCTTAGGGGCTGAAGCCAATTAACTATATACAAACTTCTAGTCTCTATTAGAAGTCATGTAATTTTTTTAAAATTAAAAGATAATTAAAAATTGCAGCCCTCCATTATAACTATGTCACAATATTATACATTTGATTTCCTCCCTAACTATACATATCCATGCTAAAAAAATTACACATATTTCATTACTATTCTTCATCTTTAACTTAAAATTATATATTATATAATGAAGACCAATTTTATGTAGCATTTGTATTTGCAATATACTTGTATTTCAAGATTCTTTTTGTGAAACACTAATATTTAATTGAGATCATTCACTCTACATTTGTAGAACCAGAATGATTCAGATAATATATGAGTTTATTACTGAGAAACTGGTAGTTTAAAGTTTTTTTTTTTCTCATTTTCACTTCCCCTATTCAGAAAATAAAAGTGAATGAAGCATGATGATATTCATATTATTATTTTATGCCATTGGCTGCTGAATCAGTATCTTATAATCAAGATGGGTTGATAGTGACAATGATAAGTTCAGAGCCCAAATGGTTAGGAGTTGAAAGTTGAAATTTGGTACACTGTTAGGATACATGAGAATGTACACTAAGGAGGGATTTTTTGAAATCCCCCTGTGCAGGGGAAAGGTACAGGATTAAGGCTTACTGTGAAGAACTCAGCTTCTATTATACTACTTTAGACATGGTTTTTTGCGTTTTTCATTGTGTTTTAATAGGGTATGCCATTAGAATTCACATTAAGAAGGGATTTTTTGAAATTCCCACCATGGGGGAGAGAGAGGGTTAAGGATTACACTGAAGAACTTGGCTTCTACTGTACTATTTTAGACGCTTTTTTGTATTTATGTGGGAAATTGAACATATTTTTAGACCCTTCTAAAAATTCTCAAGGATATTTAGTGTTCCATTGTATATAAAGTTGACATGAGGAGTGCATGTGCATAAGTTCACTTTATTTGAGCTCTTCATCTTAATGTTCGATTTTATGTTTGAATTTATATTTATGAATGATTCTGGAAGATCCAACTTATTTTTCAAATTTATTAAACCTAAAGAAGAATCCAGAAAGAGTTAAAAAAAGCATTTATTATATATCAGTTAGTGTACTACGGACTGGTTATTGGTTGCAAAGAGTCTTATTTATCGTTATCCCGGTGTGGTAAGCAGATATCTAAAATTTCTCTAATTAGTCTTGGAAGAGAGGGACCTAATTCTTGCCCTCGGTGAAAACGAGTAAGATCATCTATAATCTTAATCTTTGCTATTGTTACTTTTTATCTGAGCAATGAGAGGCTCATCTGCTAGTAATATATACAGTGTTTATTGTTTAGTACACTTAATCAGCATACAGAAGTCTTTGTTTTTAATCTACTTGTATATTTTCATTTAATATTTTTAGTTTTTATGAACTTGATGAAGATCTCTACTTTTCTTAATATAATTTTATAAGTTAAATATATTTTAAATATTAAGTTAAAAGAATTATATTTTCCAGTTTTTATTTATTACAGGAATGGGCACATGTTAACCCACCGAAATAAAAAACCATATGAATGTGATGTTGAAGGTTGTGGAAAGAGTTATTGTGATGCACGATCTTTGAGGAGACATAAAGAGAATCATCATTCAAATTCTTGTTCTACAGGAAATATCTCAATACCCAGTGTTGGAAGTCATTTGGCCATGATTCCTGGAATGACTCATCTTGGTTTCACATCTCTCCAATCGTCTTTTCCAACAAGTGTCATTACTACTACTAATGACCAAATATTTTCTGAATCAACTGAAAACAACAACAGAATTCAGTATGTTCAGACCTCTAGTGTGTCTTCTCAGTCAGTTTCACAGAGTGATTTTACTCAGGAAAATAATTCATCTGTTGAAAAACAAATGATGAATTCGGTTGCTTCAACCGCTTCATCTCAGTTACAATTTTTGGCATTTCATCAACAACCACATCAACAGTTTCAGCCTCAAATTAAATCAGAGCCAGGACTTACATCTTCTGTTGGGGCAGGAAGAACAGAAGGTAGGACTGTTTTAACACCTTGGCATCCACAGACAATCAATACAAGCGCTTTGCTTTTAGCACAAAACTTTGGATCTCCAAATAATTCTCAACCAACAGTTTGTCAGTCGCAAAATAATCAGTTAAATATTTCTGAATCACTTGATTCTACTACAGATATAAGATCGAGAGCATCACCTTCTAGTGTTAAAAAACAGCAGACAGAAATTGGTAAACAAGGACAGGAAGAATCACAATCAGATACTCACTCCCATGACAGTCAGCAACAGAAGTTGCCATCTCCAAACTCAGATAGTTTTCTCTCATCTCCGATTGCACCTTCGACTTCACAATCGTCTAATGAAGCTACATTTTCCTGCTCTCAGTTGCCAGCAGAACATAACATAAATATTGGTATTAGTTCGGACAATGTGTTTAGACAACATTCTATTCCTTTAAACCAGTCGTTATTATCATCTGAAATATCTCTTGCATCAAATAACGAGTTAGATAATGTTGTCACATCTGTTACAAATACGGGCACTACTGAAACAGAACAGTCTCAAATTAACAGTCCCCTATTGCAACAGTTACTGACTCCACCGCAACATTTGGATTTACTACAAACATCTGGAAATGATAGTTCTTTATCAAATACTACAATTACAAGAGCTGCTTTACTACAACATGCTCTTTTTGCACCTAATCATCATCAGTCTCTACAACAAGGTCTATTTCCAAATTGGAATCAGGTACTATGATTTGATTTAAGATTTCTTAAAGCTTATCAATATTTAAAATTTTAACTCTAATAATAATAGCAGTAATATAATGAATTTTAAAATTAATACCTGTAATTTTTAGAAATATTATAAAGTAAAATTCAAATTACTAAAAGAAGAAATTATATTTTATATTAATTACTTTAATAATATAGTGGTGCCTTGTACTTTGAAATTAATTTGTTACAGAAGATTGTTTGAACTCTGAATTGTTCAATGTCCAAATCAATTTTCTCCATTAGAAATAATGGAAAATGAATTAATCCATTCCCAGATCCTAAACAAAACCCTTTGGATAAATTGAAACAGCAAATATACATAATTTAAGGTAAAAATAACACAATTAAATAAATGCTGTATAGTAAAATGAAAATTGCATTAACTGGTATTACACCGTTGACTTTGGAATCTTAAACATGGCCACCATATCTGCCACACATGTACAGTACCACTCATCGTTTTTCATCTCAATTTTCAATACTACAGTGGTACCTCAGGATACGAAATTAATTTGTTCCGAAACTGAGATCGTATCATGAAAATGTCGTAAGGTGGATCATCTTTTCCCATACGATTACATGTAAAACCAAATAATTCGTTCCAACGCGAAAAACATACTCAAATTAAAGCCAAGTAATACATTTAAAAAAATAACTGTAGTAAGAAAAACAAATGAAAAATGCGAACTAATGTAACGTCGTATGGTGAGTTTTTGTTCGTATCGTGGAGCAAAAATATGTTCGAATTTCATGTCGTATCCTGAAAATTTCGTATGCTGGGGCGTTCGTAACCTGAGGTACCACTGTATAACCTTTCTCTTAGGCTTTGTTGTTTTCACACTTTTCAATGCTGTGGTTAATAGGTAGTGGTTATATGTTTATATAACCAAATACACTAAAAATAAAGCAAAAAAGCACTGGAAAACACATGAGCATAATGTGAGAGATGCTTTCATGGTGAGAGAGAGAGAAATATCACTTTGGCACACAGATGACATATATGCAATGAGAGCATGTTTTCTCATAGCATGTGCAGGTCAAATGTAGAAGTATTGATTGAACTCCATGTTGAATTTCTCTCTAATTTAGAGTTCAACCTCTGGATTGTTCTAAGATAGTCGTTTTAAGAATAAGGTACCATTATTTTAAATTAAAGTAAGAAAACCCATTGTGGACCATTAAGTTTGTACTATATTTTGACCAATTTCCCCACAAGAAATGATTAAGCTGTCACCTAAAGTTTGTTTTTTTTTTTCTCATAGTCTATTTTTTTTAAATAAATTATCAGTGAAACCAAGTAAATTTATATCATTATAATCCTACTAACAAAGTATATGAATATTTATATATTAGGTATATTTTTATATTGTTGGAAACTAAATTTTTAAAAATAGTCTAGTTTTTAAATTAAAAAATTGAATTTACAGTGGAACATGATAAACCAAAATAATGTAGGCAAGATAATTTTGGTTATTCAATCACAATTTGTAGGGAAAATAAAAATATAAACATGTAAAAACCCAATTTTAGATTAAAGCCAAACAATTGTCAGATTACATTGGGCTTAATCTGGCAATCATTTGGCTTTAAAGAATAAAATGTTAACTTCCTTAAAGTAAAAAAATATTAAGGCAGAAATTTAATATATATGAATGGTAAGAAATAATGAAAAAATTGTCTAATTTATTGAAAATAAGCACTAATCTTTTATTGCAATCTACAACACTGACAATACTTGAATTCAGATCTAACAAATACATAATGGTAAAATTAATAGTAATAATGAAATACAGTAATCATTTAAAATTTATTTATTTTAGTTTTTCTTTTCTTGAAAGAATTCATTTACTTTGCTTGTTTTACATGTGTTTTTTTTCTTTTTCTTTTTAACTCTGCTACATCCCTAGCTTTCTTGATCATCTTGAGAGTTGAAAAATCTGCTTCATATTGCATTTCTAAACATGTCAATGCGATTTCTAATGCATCAAATGTTTCATTGTGAGTAGGCGTAGTGAATTAGAAGCCAGACTCATTAATCATGATTTTTATTTGTACTGTAATAAATAAAACCTAACACTAGTTTTGATAATGTGATAACTCAATAGAGGGTCTACAGAAGATTAGCAATAATCATTATTACATAAAAAAATTGTAATTTCTAGAAGTAATACTCTCTGAAGTCAATTTAAGATAATTGATGCTCTACTGTATATGTAAATTGATTATTCTAGGCATTTCTTATTCAAATAAAGATGGCAATTATACTTATCTTAGAAAATTCTTAAAATCATTAATTACCATTTAAGTCCAATAAAAATTCTATTGGTATAAAAATATGTATCATATATTTAAATGTTTATACCTGCGGCACCCAACATGTTATTCATATATTGTTTTAATGTGGCTTGCTGCTTGCGTATTCAGATTTATCATATTTATTAAAACTATTTTAGTTTTAAAAATTATACATAAATAAATAAATATATANGTAAAAAAAAATATATATATATATATATATTTATTTATTTATTTATTAAAGGGTAAAATTATATAATTTTACCTTTTAATGCAGCAAATTATTATTGGCCTTGAGAGCAGTGTATGTATATCTTTTGATAGTGGTTGTATGTTTTTATTTTCATACTATTTAACGTGTTTTCGTATTTACACAGAGCAAACTTTGAATTTGTGTATGAACTGACAGATGGTTTCCACAACATATAAATATTTGTTTGATTTATTTTAAGGGTTAATATACTAACAATTATATTTATCCTATAGCTACTCTAATTATGTCTGAATATGAGTCGGAGAAAAAGAAAAAATGGACATACACTTACAATTTTCAAGAAGATTGGGAAGAGAAATATTTTTTATTTATTTTAAGAACAAATGTATTTGTTTGATTTGCAGTTCAGCAGTTGCTATTGGAAAAAGTGCAATGTAGAACAACATTTTACAACAGTTCATAAAAAATATAATACTGAATATCCTATTAACAGCAGTTTTTAAGAAAATCTGAAGTGAAAGAATTGAAAACCACATTAGTTGCCTAACAATCTATATTTATTAAGTCTGTGACTAAATCAAGAGCTGCTACAATTGCTTTATTTAAGATTGCACATATACTTGTAATGCACAAAATACCCTTTGACGACAGCAACATAATTAAAGAAGCAATGCTTGCCGCATCAGAAACGTTGTTTCAAGAATTTAAAAATAAGAAGAAAACTATATCAGCTATTGAAGATGTTTAATTATCAAGAAATTTAGTCACTTTTAGAATAGAAGCAATGTCTGAAAATATCAAATTACAAAGAAAAATGCATTTTTTTTTAAGTTTACAATGTGATGAATCAACATACTTCTGCAGTATTGCTCAAATAAATATTTTTGTAAGGATGGTCTTTAATGATTGCTCAGTAAAAGAAGATATACTCTTAATTTTGCCACTACAAGGAAATACATGTGGAAAGGATATATACCAAGTTATTAAAAACTACATTAAAGAAATTAATCTGCCCCTTCCAAAACTTATGTCCATAATAACTGACGGGTCACCTGCCTGATTGGTTCTGGTGTTTACTTCAGCACATTACATAAGAATGATGCTGAGTTTCCAAATTTTTTTCATCATTCATTCATCAACAGACATTATGTACAAAAGTATTGCATTGTGAACATGTCATGAAAGTTGTTCTAAAAATTGTAAATTCCATTCAGTCCACTTCATAGCAGATTATTCAAAATACTGACTGATGAACTTGATGCTGAGTACAGAACTTTAATGTTACATTCTGAAGTTAGATGGTTTAGTAAGGGAAAGTCCTACAACGATTTGTAGAGCTTCTTTCCAGAGAACTCTTTTTGAATTAATAGGAAGTGTAAATGCATTTCAGTCAAAATTAAATTTGTGGATATCCCAAACTAAAGAATGTAACTTTACCATTTTCCAAATTTAGAGAACTATATTCGTAAATGTAAGGAAATTGAATCAGATGAATATTCTGAAAAATCTTACTGAACTTAAAAATAATTTTGAAATTAGATTTTCTGATTTTTGTAAGATTCATCCACTCGTTTCATTCATTTTTAAATCCATTTGTTAATAATAATATTTATGAAATATAGCAAAAGATTGTATGTTGAATAAAAATATCAGTATTTAGAAATGGACATACAGTGGAACCTGTAACCTGAGGTACCACTGTATATTACATTTTAACAGTTGCAGTTTAAATTTAACAAAGACAAGTAAAATTGCCAACTTTATCTGACTAGCAAATTCCTACAATCATAATACTTATCAGTTCAATAAAGAACTTTAATAGTTTCATAACATAGTAAGTGTGATAGCATTGTAGTAATAAATTATTCATGCTTGATTGCAAATAAATTTATATATATATTTTTTATGTGTATGTATTGCTAGATTGTTGTTAAATTTTAATTAAATTGTCTTTTTAGGTTTCATTTTCTTTTCCAAATGCAAGTAGTAACAGCAATTCAAGATATGGGTAAGGAATTATCAAAGTATTGGAAAAACTAATAAACCATAACTAGACATGTAATGCATTTCACAAATTTAATTATTTTGAATATTTGTGAAGGACAATAGTTAAACAAATAGATTTAAAGTTTGAAATTATGCAATTTTTTAGTCATATCATTGACATGATGTCTTCTTGATAGTACTTTAGCATATGATAACTTCTTTAGTTATAAATCTATAATTATTTGTAGATTTATTTACTATTGGTTTTAATTTTTACCAGATTAATTCAATAAGTACTATAATTTACTGTTAAAATTGCTTAAATTGATACATTAATTAACTTAGATTGATAAATAAACTATTAATATATTTAGTTAGAAAAAGTTTGGCAAAGTTTAAAAATATTTGAGTGTTTGTAAATAAATGCAATACAAAAACACAGATATCAAATAACAATAATAAATTATAGCAAGAAAAAGTTAGAAAAATTGAAAATAAGAATTATCTAGTTTATTCTTCAAGTTTCATAATGTCTGATTTATTAAAACTTCTATTGACATGGAAACTTGGTTATTATAACATAAGATTAGTTGTACTTTGATTCAATACTACATAAATGAGATGAGATGTCTGTAAAAATCTTAGATAAAATGTTAAAATCTTATCATTTTATATGCCATTTCAACAAGAATACTATCTCAATAACACAAAATCAGCAAAAAAAACTCACTTTAACTCAACAGATGTTTTTTTTCATCTTGGCTGAACATCTTTGCGCTTAAACATTTGATATTGTGGAAATAACACATGTTGGAATGTCAAGTTCAAATATGTACTTCTTTGAATGGATGTTCCAACATATGTGGTTCCAATTTCAATTGTTAAAGCCTGAGGTATTGATATTATTTGAAAAAATATGGTTTATATATTATTTACTATTTTATTAATATACATATATATTAACATTTTATTATTATATA